ATCATTCATACCCATAGAGCAAAGCCTCCTCTACAGTTCTGTCATGTCCACAGCTCCAAAAGCATTCTAATTACCTAATAGTTGTTTTTTATAGTTAAAAAACGGGAAAGCTCACAGCTGACAAGAAATTGTTCGGATTTCATTCGGAAAGCTACGCTAAACGGCGCACGTCCGTTCTGGATTAAGGAACTGTCTGTAAATGTTGGTATACTGTGGATGGATAGACAAGACAATATCCGTTTAACACTCTCGTGACAACGGCTTATCTTCGTTTTGTTGCTCACTAGGAGACGTCTAACTTTTCACTTTCACTTCACCGTGACACCGATGAATGCCATACCGGCCAATGTGGCAGTTTTTGTGCAACGCTGTCGCCTTTCTTGTGATTTCTATACAGCAAATCGGTTGTTTTCTGCGTTTTGAAGAAAAATTCATTTCTCGTATCCTGTGTATCTTTAATGTTTTCCTATACATTTTCCCATGGTTTTGGTAGATGTGCAATTCTTGTGTGTGAAGAAGGAACACTAGTCTACTATGCAATATATTGCCGTGGGCGTTTAATGAAGTTGTACAAGTTGTACAACATCGAATTTGCATTTCGAACATTGCGATGTTTGCCTTGTGGTTTCGATACGCTCTCGTTCCATGCGATACGCAGAGGTTATCATAACGACTAGAAGTTGGAACAAAACGGATTGGTTGTCGAGAATGATGCTACACAATGCCTGCCATTCGAGTTTTTCGAGGCGCCGCACACTGTCTTCAACAGCAATAGTTTCTCACCTCAAGATAGGAAATTAAGGGAGAAACTATTAAGAAGACACTGCTATGAACGACACTCACCACAGCATCTGTGTTGTATATGCTACCGATTAATTACGAGAAGGCTAGGAGAAAAGTTTACCTATTTTGGTGTCCGCTGTAATGAATATAATACCTTTAGATGTTGTACTGGCCATTGTCTCAACTTCGTTATAACATCTATAAGTGAAACTCGTCTCGAGAGTGTTGTAAAACTAAGATATAATTTAGATGTTGATGTTGTGGAGATATAGGAATTGGATTATGGTTAGCGAATGCTGAGCAGTTATAATTGCTTTATATTTTCTATTTTATGAATATTGTTATCTGGGTCTTCTAGAATGCGTTGAAGTTCTTGCAGTGGGTAGTATTTTTGATGAGATGCGTGAACTTGTGTCTGTAAATTTCTGCTACAGCTTTTTTTTTCGCTCTTCGGTTTTGGATGTTTGTAAACGTTCGTGCACCGACTTCTATTTAACCATGACGTGAATGATCAGCATCCTGTTGTATTCGTAAACTGACACGAGGTTGGTATAGAAGTATTGTTGTGGCTATGTTTCGTAATAGGAGTCGAACCCATAGGATAGAATTGTATATTGATACACTCTTGTAGACACCGACTCAAATCATTACGGCTGTGAAGAAATCGGAAACGTCAAAACAGCCGCAACAGAACTTTTGTAGCACCTTTATGCTTGTTTATCAATGCAGTGAGGTTTAGACCACCAATTCTCAGTTTGCTGTGGTGGGACAAATACATTTGAAATCTCGGGAGAATTTACTTTTGTAATACTTGAGCTGGCGTGTGTGGCGCAGTGGTCGGAGGCGCCCAGCAACACACGTGCGATCGATCCCCACGTCCATGGCCCACTAATCCTTCCATCCTTCCTGGGTCCAAAAATTGGTACCAGACTTGTCTGGGATAGCAGCACTGGCTCGATACATCGGTAGGCCACCGCGAGTCATTGTAAAGGCCAGATATGCATTCAGTCACCTTCAAACGATGCTTAATGAAGTCGAATGCGTGGCGCATCTCTCAGAGAGTGGTCAACGCCGAGAGTTTTATCCTTTTTGTCCTTTAATACTTGAACTTGATTTCCTATCTTTTATTATGTTAAGGATCTAAATGCTTCTCTTATTGGGTTGCTGAGTGTATCGTTAGAAGGGAGGGCTGACGATGATGAATCTGTGGTCGATGTTCGTCGTGCTCGGATTGCACTTCGAACACTTGTTAATGCTGTGAATCGTAGTAAGAAGTAGGTAAACATTGTTGATCAAGTTTTTGTTTCAAATTTGTTTTGTGAACTTCATAGTTGTTACATGGATTGGCTTAGTAGTCTTGTATATCTAGATATGTCATCTGTTATCATACTCTGAAGTAATGATAGCTTTAGCTTTTCACATTGTCGCGTTTAGATTTGCAGGAAGCGTTTCTACGAAATGTTTAACCCTGTTTCGTGCTCTGATTCGGATCCCAGATCTTCATACTGAAACCTTTGCTGCACTTGTTGCTCTTGCCCGGCCAATGCAAATCGGTGAGCACTATTTCTTAGCCTTACGTTTAGTAAGATTTAGCGTTTGTTTTCAGTTTGTGCCCTTTCCGATACATATAGTTTGTTGATTGGAGAGCTTGTAATGCTGTGGGAGTCACAAACTACTAGTGACTCCGACAGATCGTGGATATCTGCGCTAATGTCAATTCATTTAGAAGAAGCGAGTTTTATGGTTATTATAATTATTAAAGGTCCTAGTTATAGTCTTCTTGACTAGTTAAAAGTGGTGTATTCTACACAGGACTTCGGTTTTCTTTCAAGCTGTTTTGCGGACTTATCCTGCGAATGCTTCACAGTTCTTCTGCATATTACTGCAGTACTAATGGACTGTTGTCATGGAGAGGCTATCACTAAGGTTCGTACTGTAGTATCCATGCGCTATATTTAGTGAAAAATTTGGTCGTCATTGGATTGTGGTCGTTTAACACTTTTGCGAAGAAGCTGGTTTTCCGACAACCGACCATGATTTTCTCTATCGGTAAAGTATTTCTAAGGTTCAGAACTTTATAGACTCATAGACTCGTAGAAGAGGCTTTGCTCAATCGGTGTAATCGTATGTATAATTTTTATACGACATACCTTCAAATTTAAGTATATTTGGAGTCACTATTTTCAACAAATTGATTGTACACCAAATTGCACGAATGCACGAATTGCAACAAATTGCACGAATTGTACAAGTTTAAAATTTTCTAACGCAACAGCGGCAGCTCCAAATATGAACGGTACATTGAAGAACAAAATCTTGTATTGTTGTACGAAATTTCACGTTTTCCTTCACTTTCGTTTTCCAAATGGGGGTCTTGAATCGAAGTTTCATCGTGTGGAAACAGGAAGGCAGTTATCCTGTTGGCAAAGATCTGCAGGTTGTAGAAGTTTTATTATATTTGAAAAAAGCTCATTATGAGCTCAGAAGTGCTGGTTCAGAGTTGAAGGCAACAATCTTCTTTGCACCGTATGAATCTTGTAGAGGTGACGTCGTCGTGCAGATGTTAAATAGTTACTAAATTTTCTTTTTAACCCTAGGGAAAAGATTTTTTGCGGGGATTTGCTTTGTTTAGACTCATCCAAACAACATATCGTTCTGCGTGGATCTTCTGCAACGAATTGTTTTCGAATTCGATCAAGGATTAAATTCTGATCGGAGATTTACGCAGGTCGAACAAATTATGTATGCTGTCGAGATTCTGGGTAAGCGTGTTTTGAGTACTTGTTTTTCTTAAAGTGTTAATGTTACCGCTTTAGCGTCTGCCGCGTTGAGGGAGACTGAATTTTCGTCTCAGTTATTAGATCGGCCGGAATCTGTTGAAATTGTTGTGGATGTCCTAGACGCGGTGAGTTCATACAGCCGGGAAACAAAAGTAACCGATCGATCACAGTAATGTGCGCTGTGGAATGGTTAACAAGTAAGTAATTGAAATAACTAACTTTTCAAGGTGCTTGATGCTGAGTGGTTGGACGAAAATGAACGTAATTCGGAAGCACAGAAGCCAACATATACTGATCGACCTCAGAGACCTCCCGATGTTCGGTGCACACGTGTAGTGGAAAATTGTGGATTGGCCGCGTTATCAGCCACATTACGTGATTCACCTATGGAAATTAGAGCGAATGTTAAGTGTGAAGCAGTACGAGCAATCGGTTGGTTTTCGTAAATCTAGTGGTATCTTAAGTGTATTTTAGTGTTTTTTGTGGAAAATAATACTTATTTGTGTTACTCTGAGATGAATTGCTCATGACAGTTTTATCTATGTACGCTTACACTACTGTTCTCCTATAGGGAATCTATGCAGCGAAAGACTATCTTTACGTCGAGCGGCTGGTGCCAGGGGAGCAGTGCTTGCAGTACTTCGTTGTGCTAGATTGACTGAAAACAACCGACCTTTCATCGTGAGTCTCTTCTTACTTAAAATACGATCTGAACGAGAGTTCTTGTCCGATCCGAGGAAGTATAAATTATTCAAGGTGCAATGGTCAATTTCTGCTCTACGCCATCTGTGTCTGGAATGTCCAGAAAATCAGATGTTTATTTTGAAAATGGACCAGGTTAGCTCTACAACAGTATGGCCCGAATAACACCTTTGTGGCATTCTGCAATCCTTGTTTGATATTTTTTTTCTTCTCTTTACGCCTTTAACAGCGTCAATATACCGTCTTACTTGATATGGTCATCTTCGCGCAGACTTTGAATTACAGTTTCAAAGTCAAGATAGGGTTGCACACTACACTTGGTTAGCATATGACCACAAACTAGTGATGTGAACGTTTTCAGAAACCTACAGGAGTTATTGATCGGCAGAGACTCCTTAAAGAATTGGGTATAGAAGCTGACATTGATCCTGTAAGCGGAGCCGTTCAATTCACCCAGTTGCCTTACTGTTCACATTCTATGTGATTTCGTTTTTTTTTACTCACATCATGAGATTAAGCGTATTTTGTGTTTTTCTGAACATCGTGGTGTTTTTATTGGAGTGTTCAATGGGAATAAATTGTCACATAGTCCGATGTTTTGCCAGAGCTTTTCATTCGTACTATATTTGCGTTTCCTTCCAACAGCTGGTTGAATTTTTACTAGATTATTTTGCAAATCTTTGCTTTAACAAGACTTGAACTCGGTAGGCAGGCACAAAGATGGATTTTTCTGACATGGAGAAAGCTGTGTACGGTGGCAATGTTGAAGATGACGAGGAATTGCTTGCTGAACTTCTTGCTCTCCAAAGAGAAGAAGAAGCAAAACAAAGGTTTGAGCACGAACTTCTTCCTCCGGCTTAAAACTCAACATTTTTCCTTCCAATTTTCTGTTGTCTCTTATCGGTCAACAGTATTTTATTACCAGGCGAAGTTCTCCTATGCCACCCTCAAGACCTCCAGCGTCTCCATATTCAAAAGTTGGTACATCTCCTGCTTTAGGTAAGAATAGTAGATGGTTAAAATTATGGTAACTATCGCATAATTAGTGGGCCTGTCTAGTGTACCCGTTAGAGGTGCACTGCAACGGTCATGTGGTCACTATTACGACCACGTGTCCTTGATAAACCGAGTCCGTCACCACTCCGGAATCGATGGATAAGTCTGGAAGGGTTCAAGAAATGCTAAATTTACATCGGTAGTTTTCTGCAGTAATTGTTTACGCTAAGTGTACAAGCCACCCTTACGATGTTTAACGGGGTTGAGTGCGTGGCGCATCTTTGGGATTTTGGGGATTTGGGGGGGGAGGGGGGAGGGACAGGGATTTTGCATACATTATCTAAAAACAAAAAGAACAAAATAAACTTTTTTATTTTCTATCTGCGTGAGGTATCTGAAAAGTATGGATGACCCGCTATGTATATTTACTTCGCTGGCAAAAAATAAGGATATTGCTTGCATTAATTCCTTAACAGTTTTCGCATTTGCAAAAGTACGACAATTGCATGTTGCTTCCATTCACCTAAGGCGGATGAATTGTTAAATTGAACAAGCTATTCGGTGAACTTCATTGAGAAAGAAAGTATTAGTTGCAGGAGTTGACCCAGCCAAATTGGCGGCCGCTCTTGCGGATAATGTCGAAGTTGACGAACACGCTCTCGAGAATGACGAGGATTTGCTAGTATGTATTCGAAATGTTTTTGCTTTGAGCAAAAAAGAGTACGAAGGTTTTTTACTACTAGGCTGAGCTTTCTGATCTCATTGGAAGCAGAGGAATTGGTTCTTCCTCAGACTCAATTACGCCCGAACATCTATCTAAATTACCAGATACCGCTATGCTGTCCAGACTTTCTGGACTGCTTATTATTTATGAAAAGATGTTGTCGGTTAGCGACAAGGAAGGAAATACGTTGAAAATGCGGAGGTATCTTTGATGCTTTTCCCTCATATTTATAAACAGGAAAGCTTTATAAAAGTTTGGTGTTTCCCCATTTAGGCACCAACGTTCTGTGGATAAATTGAAAGGACTGATTTCCAAAGCACAACGGGGTGAGGACATTGATGAATCTGAAATCCCGCCGGCACCACCATCTCTTTCTTCAACATCTCGTGATGAAGTTTGTTGTAGGAAATTACTTTATTCGAAAACATTTTACAGTGATGTCAGAGAGTTATTAACCATCTTCAATACATAGAACCATTATAGCAAATGGAATCAACGGTGCCTTCAACACCTCCGCCCATCCCAAAAAGGACTACCTCAGCATCAAGTCCATTATCCAGTGTCCTACCTCCTCCCGTTCCTGAGCGTTCTTCGTCGACATCAACCATTGCAGCCACATCGGTTCGGTTTATACCTTATATAATATTTCTTAGTTATACCACGAAAATTTTAGAAAGAACGTATTGATTCAAAAAAACAAAGGATTTTGGAGGTTCTGAAAAGACGTCGAGATGCTTATGTTGCAAACGGCAAGGTGGGTCACTGAAGCATTAGAAATGTCGCACGATATAAAACGGCATGTCAATAATAGGGAAATTCAGGCTGCAGTGGCTGCAATGGATAAAGGTGCTGCTAAACAGTATGTCGAGATTGCGAAGATGTTTGATCAGGTGGAGGTTTTTAATGTTGTAACTGAATATTCGTTTTATACGTCACCTGAGATTTTAGGCATTAGCTGCAATGGATACAGCTGACGCAGATGAGTTAGACTTGTCTGAAGTACCTCCATCTCCACAGCCCTATCGCAGAGTCGAACAGCCAACCACTTTCATTGGTGGTTTGGAGAGTCGAATGAACAGGTTCCAAAGTTTAGCCCGCAAAGCAGCTCAAGATGGTAACGATCGGAAAGCTAGGTTCGAAAATTTCTTTTCTTTTCTCTTGGTATTGATAAGGTTAGTAAGTATTCTTTCATTAATTAGCTAACACGACATTGATAAAACGGTTTATTCGGCTTGCTTTTCGACTTCTTCATCGTCTTCAGAGCCGGTGATTAAATTATAGACTGTCCCAATATGATGAAACGTCGTGGTAAAATATTTTTTGGATCCTTTAATAACAATTCGACTTACTATTCTATTTTATTCCTAGATATCAATCAAATTGTTAGGTTTTCATTTCACTTCCGTCCAGTTCCCGAAGTGCATAGCTACACTAACCTCGTGTTGAATTCTGCCTAAATAGTGTCTAACGATTTCCTTTAGACGACGGTTGGTGAATGCTAACAACTCCCTCCATCTTGCAAAAGTCAAGGATTTAATTCTAAAGACAGTTTAAAAAACCTTCATACCACTATACCACCATCTAGGATGAACACCCGCATGGCCGAACAATATAAAGCAGCCATACTCGATGCCAAAGCAGGACATCCAGTAGCAGTTGCTGAACTGCCATCTCTTCCTAATATGCCTCCTTTACCACCTCAAAACCAGGAACCTACCCTGAAAACCTCCACACCTAGCGGTAATTTTTTTGCTGTTTTATTGTTTTAAATGTCAGACTTTAAAAGAATTCTAAAGATTTCAGCACATCCTCCACCGGCTGTCGGCCCACTTGCTGCATCCGGGCAACCGGGAACGTCGAGGAATTCCACCCAACTCCAGTTTTTGATCATGCGTCAGAATGAGTTTAAACAAGCTGCTATTCATGCAAAATCAAAAGGAAACTTGGAACTGGCTAAAAAATACCTGCTGGAAGCTAAGGTGTGTATAATTGTTTTTTCAGTTATATGTTCTTGGCAAACATTAATATTTGTTGCTACAATTCGAAAAGACCGAATTTCAGTTAATCTCAGTATTAAAAGTAAAGTTATTTTGTTCTTGTGAGCTCTCCTTGATGACTGTTGATAGGGTGATGAGAGTGAGTTTTATTTTATCATCTTATATGAACAGCACAAAGGTGGTTTTATTTCTTGAGAATGAAAACCCATGAGTACTTCTTAGAGACCAGAGCTTGGTTTGCATCAGAGCTTTTCAAAAACACTACGATATTCACTGAATAAGGCTGTATAACAACAAATCCGCGCACTGAAAAGGAGGAAAGTCGTTCAAATGTTAGGTACTTGTTAACAATCTGATGGGATTTCATCAAAGGTTCGTAAGAACAAAATAATAACCTTATCTCTGGCTGGTTTCATGTTCGATAATAACCATGTTATGGACTCAAGATAAAATGCGTATGAAAACTCTAAATATTAATAAAAATTATGTTGTTTCTTAGTGCATAACTAGGTTCTGAAATACAAATCGGAACTGGTTGATGAATATTTGTTCAGCGTGTAATAGATGTTAGCTCTGATGACCGTTATATTCCAGGAACTGTAAAAATGAGGTGTCTGATCTGGAGAGCGCAAATCGGCATTGAACTCAGGCTGAAGGTGTAATATGAATAATGATGTAGCCACTTTTTTATTTATTGCTTATTCTTTTTATGGCAGAATCTTAGATCAATCCCGTTGAGAAGTGATTGTAGATAGCACTTGTAAAACATAGCTGAGAAAAAGGCGAAACGAGGGATATGCATGGTGTGGTGGTTAACGCCTTAGCCCCTGGAAAGGGTAGTAACATTTTCGAGCCCCACCGTAGGCACCCGTGGTCTGGAATATTTCAGCATGATTGAGGGTATATTTCACGTCATACCCTGCCATAAAAGCAATAGGCTATAAATAAAAGGTGACTATATAGGCGTATAGTTTACAGTAGGTTTTATTAATTGTAGCAACAACTATTGCGATCTAGAGATATTTGACCACAGGATACAATTTTTCGTATACTAGGGTGCAATTCTGTTTCTTTGGAATCTACTGTCGTTTTTCTTCTTTTTTCTTGTCGGCACCCCTTGAGCAATGGATCCATTGTGAAAACTTAGATTTTGAACAAATTTAAAACGGGCGATGAGTCTTAGAGAAACTGTAAATACCCTGGGGCAGTAGGCCAAAATCTTTTATAATTCTCTCATGGTTTTAGATTCTCATTAATTTTAATTATCATCTCACGTCGTTAGCATATTTGCCTCATCTGTGTAGACTCTGAACAGAAAATAGATTGAAGACCAACAAAACTTCTGTATATCATTATTTTATCTTCAAGTATTTGTTGCATGATTTCTGTGGTTTCAGGGTTTTGACAAAATGATTACTGCTGCCAAGGCAGGCCTCCCAGTTTCAATAAAGGCTACGCCAATTCCTCCACAAGTTTCTACATCTCAAGCGACTTTACAACCTCGGATTGTTCCTACTACTTCGAGTACCACTGGAATTGAAGGTATTTGTTTTTTACAAATGACCCGAGTAAAAAACTGATTTTCACAGAACATCAAGAAAGAACGATGTTATAGTAGCTACGGTGGTGAGTACTGATTTTCGTTTACGGAACTTGCAGAAAGCAGTTAATAGAGACGTCTCAACAGTCTACCTCCTCATCGTGGTTGGGGGTATTCCGGGGTGTAGGGCTGCCATGTAAAGCGGGGGGATTCACCCAACTGGCAAGGTTTCTCGGGCCGAGAAGGATTGTGGCGCTTCCATCAGGAAGCCTAGCTAAGAGCAAACCAATACAAGGATCCACCGCCGTCTTGGCATGAAACTAGTCATATGGTGGCAAATCTCCCTTTGTCCACAAGGGATGCGACTGCCTGTGGTGGTGAGAACTTGGGGTAGAGTTTGACAAGGCTGATTGCGGGATTCCAGGGAACCACAATGACCAAACCAGCAAATCTCCGATATAATGGAGATTATGTTGGGGCCTGCCCGACCGGTGAGGGGGGTATTCAAATATCCAAGTATCCAACTAGATTAGTAGAAAATACGTGTTTTCTTTTGTATTCGAGTTTGCCACGAGTAATTGCCGACTCCGACATGACGAAAAGCTCAATTCTATCACATTTCTGTGACTTTTTTCATGCGGTGACATATGATCGTTTATGTGTTATATCCTTCAATATCTTATTTCTATGTTATATTTGCTCGGTATTCGACCACAATAAAGGCAACGTAACGTGTCGGTTTTTTCATTTCTTTTTCATCGTAATCTCTTTTTATATGTATTCTTCTATATTTTACATGCGATGTTATTCAGGTCGTGGAGAAACCTTATCAATGATGGAGAAATCTCTAATCGAGCAAGTACAGCTGGCAGAAAACAGTCGTATGCGCTTCACCCGATTAGGTGACGTTGGAAAGGTATGGTGAATTTGAATTTCCGAGTGATATTATATTCTTCCATCACTTTTATGTAAAAAAAAATACTCTTTGTAACACATTGGCCTATGCTGGGTAGTACCAGTAATTTTGTGAAGACCAAAATGCTTAAGGAATGGTAAACTTATAGAAGCGGTTTTGCTGCATCAATCTGAGTTCCGATGGCCTATTAAAGCGTTTTTTCAATTCTTGATTTGTTTAAGACTGAATTTTTCAGAAGAAAACCAAAAATGAGATAGAAATTCGAATTTTAAAGCAAGCATAGCGGCCACTAACATCAACAGTCCATTTGGGGCCATTATCGTGTCTTCTGAACAAGGTCCCGAACTTCCAGCAACCTCGAAATTCATTGCTTGATGGAGGGATGTTTTGCAGGCGCAAAAAAACTACGATTTTAAAATTGACTCTGGTTAATGTACTTATTGTATCGTTTCCTCTCCCAACGGTTTTCCACCTCATCGTGGTTGGGTGTTCCTGGGTGTCGAGCTGCGATGTACGGCGGAGGAATTTATCCCCCCCGGCAGGGTCTCCAAGCTGAGAAGGAGTCTGGCGTTTCCATCAGGAAGCCTAGCTAAGAGTAAGCCGATACCAGGATCCACTCCTTTCCTAGCACCAAATTGGTCGCATGGTGGCTAATCTCGCTCTGATGCACAAGGGCGATGAGTCTGTGACGACTTGGGGTAGGCTTTAGCCAGGCTGACCGCGGGATTCGAGGGAACCACAATGGCTAAACCAGCAAGTCTCCGAAAAAATGGAGATTATGCTGGGACTTGCACAATCAGTGAGGACGGGGCATCTAATCATCCAAGTAAGTACTGGTTCGTTTTTTGCCGCAGTTAGCGAAGTGCAGTACGGGTTGAGATATATTTATTTGATTCATCCAATTTTAATGTTATTTCCAATTTTGTATAGTATACGTGTGGAACGACATCTAATTTTTCTCCACGCACTTCGTGCGTTGGATTTGAGCCAGTCTATTCACTAATTCTTAGGATAATAACCTATTTCAGTCGGCATTGCTACCTCGTTGTACCAGGTGATCAGTGTTCGTTATTTAACAAAAAAAACTGTATGTACGTTATCTAAGATGCACAAATCGCTTCTGGATCAAGCTACATTTTATAATTCTAAGAATAAATGCGTAGAGCGATTCGGATTTTTGTTGATTCAGGTAAAACTGTTCGAGGATTGGGCAAAGGTTTCTAAACAAGATCTTTTACTCGTTCGAGAAGTTGCAAAACAGGGATTAAAATTACCTAAGTAGGTGGTGTAATCTAATGTAACTGCATCCTAGCGTTTAAAGTATTGCCTTATTCACTTTACAGATTCCATTATGAATCACGTCATATTCCTTGTGCCGACCTTTTTCCCGATCTCGCCGAAGACGTGTTAGAGCTATCCATCATTCGCTGCCGGTAGGATTTACAATGTATGAATAGATTTCTATGCAAATAAGGGCGCTGCTATCTTTTAGTTACTTCTGTTCAAGTGTTTTTTTTAATCATATAGTGATGTACCTCTTCCGTCTGGATACGAGCCAAATGATGCGAATCTTTTCGTTAAATTCGTGTTCCCATACCCATCTGATGCAAACCAGAGTGGAAAAACAAAGTATGTTCCAGGGACTCAAAATCCTGGTATGTTTTTGGGTTTACTAAGACATTTTTGTCTCTATAAAGCTGTATAAAACGAAATAGTACATTTTTGAAGACCGCTGCTTTGTCATGTTGAGTAAAGTTGTTTAGGTCATGTTGAGTTTGTTTATGTTTTGAGCGTGAATTACTGCGGAAAGCTCCTTACTAATTGTCTGTTGATCTAAGGAAGAGTTTTTCTAAGTAATGATAGTTATGACGATGAGCAGGTCAGAATATTTTTAATGCGTAGCGAAGTAATGTGGCTGGCTAACTGTTTATTACGTTTCTTGTTTAATATAAAAATGTAGGAAAATAGGTTCTCTTCATTTGGATTAATGGAAAACCAATTTCTTTTGCTTTCAGAGTTCGATGAGATAGCTATGCTGCAGATTGGTACTCGCAGGGCTAGAAGTCATAAATTGATGCGTGTGCTGAAACGAAGTCCTTTGAAACTTGAGGTGTAAATTATCCATATTTACTCGTTTCTTTTACATATATATGTATATATATGTGTATATATATGTAGATATATGTGTATGTATATATGCTATGCACTTGCTTACTTGGATACTTGGATGGCCCGTCTTCATTGGTTGTACGGGTCCCAGCATAATTTCTATTCTGTTATTTGTTGGTTTAGTCCATATATATACATATAAAATCTCTTTGCCATTCAGGTTTATCAGAAAGGCAGTTTTTTGAGAAGCGATAAATTACTCGGAACCTGTGAGTGGAAACTGGAACAGTTAGAATCAAATGCACTACTGGAGGAAACGCTGCCGCTAAAAGAGGGACGAAAGGCCATAGGTGGCTTACTGACACTGAAAATCAGAATTCGTGAACCACTAGGTGATGCAAAATTGACAAGCACTCAACACCGCTGGCTGGTGCTCGATAACTGAGTTATTGTCATCTCGCCGGTTATAGAATTATAAATTTTTTGACATAAATGAAATTCTGTGGTTTTCCAGTATAAAACGAAAATCCTGCATAAAACTCGACTGAGCTGATTGTTTCAAAATTTGTCATCGGGAGCTGCGTCGTTTTTTTTACTAGCCATATCGCTGACTTCTGTATGTGTCGGAACGATGAATGTTCCTTATACTCCACTCTAGTTACGTGTGCATCATCAGTAGCTCATCCGTGATGTTCGTTTTATCGGTGGTTTTTTGACTATTTATTTCACTTTAATCACATCGATTGTATACATCACTAATAGATAAATAGATCTTATAACAGGTGGATTTTGTGTCAAGCCTTTCCCAAAATTTGTGAAGTTTTCACCATATCCAGTTACTTACTTGGATACTTGGATGACCCGTCTTCACTGGTTTTGCGTTCCCCAGTATAATTTCCATTCTCCGGAAATCTGTTTTAGCCATTGTGGTTGCCTGGAGTCCCGAGGTCGGCGTGGTCAAAGTCTGCCCCAGGTCGTTACCACCACAGGCTCACCGCCCTTGTGGATCAGAGTGAAATTTGCCTCCATGCGACTAGCTTGATACCAGGTCGGTAGTGGATCTTGGTATTAGTATGTCGGCCTGTCCAATTACATGGTGGCAAAACAACAAGTTCCAATGTTTCCGAAGGTGTTTTTTAACAAATCATTGTTTTCCGGGTAACTTCTTGGGTTCCATTTCTCAAAAATCACATCGATATCAATATCCAGGTCGGATCAATATCATCACAAGAAAATGAGACAATGCTTCTTAACATTAAAGCAGAAAAAGGTCCAGAAATGTATATTGGTAATGTGCAAAAAAAAGAAACCCGCCATTCATTCGATGTTACCAAATATCCTAGAGGTGACTGAATGCATATCTCGCCTGTAAAATGGTTTGCGGTGGTCTACCGATGTATCGAACCAGTGCTGCCATATTCCCAGACAATTCTCGTACTAATTTACCGACCCCGGAGGGATGGGAGTGCCTAGTGAGCCGTGGGCACGTGGTTGAACCGACGACAACGAGTGTAATGCGGGGCACATCTAGCCACATCGTTACACGCGCTCTAAAGAGCAGGATGAGCTGGACGATTCTCGCGGAATCAGAGCAGGATAGAGTGTGTAGTGTATGAGCCAATGGATGTGAAATCCGATACACATTCCTTAAGATGTAAAAGATGACAGAGTAATAGCTATCCGTTTCAGTTTGGACTTTATGTCGTGAAGTTTCGAATGATCTAAAGAATCTAGAAGCTTTGGTATTTTCTAGAAGAATAGTAGTCTACCTGGAACTATAAGTGTTAAGGCATCTCATTTTTGTAAGGTTCACAATTATTGCTTGAAAGTGTAAATACCTGACGAATCTCGTCAAGCTAAAATTTAACGTCTCTGCAGTTATCTCTGTTCTAATGAACTGCAAGTATTGGTTCAGAGCAGCAGGGCAGAGAGATTTCTAGTCGAATAGGCCAAGGCTACGTCGTCGTCTCTAATGTGGAGGGCTTGTGGCTGAAAGAGAACCAAAGGCGAGCAGGTTAATATACGTACTTATTGGGAGACCTAGATGGCTTATAAGATGATCCCTTTCATCATGCAGGTGTACCTGCGGAATAGTTGACCATACTTTTTAGATGCTTTTCTGATGGGTTAGCCTGTTTTTGAAAAAGTGGCCTTCAAGGAATTCCTCCGTCAAGCTTAAGCAAGAATTCCGGTGGTTATTCTCTCATTAGAGGCCCGCATTGCGCTATGATTAGATGTGTCCTACAGTACACATGCTGTCTTTGGTTTGATTCCAAGCCTCGGTCTCACCAGGCCTTCCATCTCTCTAGGCTCTTGCAAACCAATACCAGACTTCTCTAGGAACATTAGAAATAAAATCCTAACTTAATACCACCACATTAATAGACCACCACAATTCATTGTGTAAGCCCGATATGCATTCTGTGACCTCTATCGATGCTTGATGAAATAGAAATCGTGGCGCGTCTTTGAGGGATTAATCAATGCTTAACGCTTTATCCTTTATCATTTATTCTCTCATTCTTCACCCGCAAAAGAATGACATAACGAGCTACTGTCGCGATCGCCCGTTGTCCTGGTAATTGGTGACTAACTCAAGCAGGCACAGTGAACCCCGTTCGTCTCCTTCGCACACCAAAGCTCAGTGCATTTTGCTGGACCGATCAAAGGACACATAGATTACTACTTTTTGGGCTAGTTTCATCTCGAAATCCTTCGGCTTGGGTATTCGTAGTGGAGTATGAACTAGCCAGTGAGGTCGCATTTCAAAAACCAGTTACACTCACGAGCGACGATGTGCTAGCAAACTACTTGGTGAAAGGGTACGGAGGCGTATGAAATCTATAGTGATTAGCAATTTACCAAAAGTCTTATATTTGGGCTTGGTTTTGTTGACGCCATGGCACTTAGCAAAATGAAAAAATACGATAGTTGTTGGGTAGCAGGGTTTTGTTGGGAAACTCTGCAATATGGTATTATTCTCGGATTTATTGATTTTTCAACAGCTATCGCCACTGTCATCAAGTTGAAGTTCAAGTAGAAAAGATAGTTCTAGAATAATCTCTGTCAATAAATAAAAAAAAGAAAAAGCTTTTGGCGTCGATCAATCCCTGAGGGATGCGCCATACATTCGACTTCATTAAGTATCGTTGGAAGTGATTGGATGCATATCTGGCCTTTACAACAACTCGAGATGGCCTACCGATGTATCGAGCCAGTGCTGTTATCCTCCCAGACAAGTCTGCTATCAGTTTTCCGATCCCGGATGGATGGAAGCCTTTGTGGGCCAAGAGCGCAGGGATCGATTCCACTTGTGTCGCAGTGGCGCCTCCAACCACTGCGCCACACGCGCCTTGTTGATAAATAAGAAAAGATTCTAGGATTTAAGCATTACGGCTATCATTTTACTTCAAAGTTGTTATTTGTTTATCACATTCGTTTCCTGGTCGCACAAATCAAACACAGCTTTGTGGTGGTATTTGCTCATTGTTGAGTCAAAAATGACCGCCATACGCTCATTGATATACCGTTAATCGCTGGTGTCATGAACTTTGGTCGTGATATTGTTTTGCTTCGTTTCTGGAATGTGTACTGTGGCTTAAGATATCATGCAGCATACACAGCGTTGTCGGTCCGATCGCAACTACTCGCATCCGTCCAGAGACAACGAATTGGTACCAGCCCACCTGAGAATAAGAACACTGACCCAGTTCATCGATAGACCGTCGGAAGTTTTTGTATAGGTTTAATATGCATTCAATCCCGTAATGTTGCGAATGGATTTGAATGCATGACGCATCCTTACGGGGTTTATCAAAGCCGGATGCGTTATCCTTTATTATATTCTGTTGTTTTACCACCACACAAGAGCAGTCGATATCGAAAATGGTCTTCAAATGAGAAATCAATGGTTTATTTCTTTGTTCCTCCACGACACTCCAGCAAGTATTACTTAGAATTTTTTGCTCGTTCTGAAGTATTGATTGAAATTCTCGACACTCTTTATCGACTGGCGCTTGTTCAGCAGAAATGAAAAATGCTCTCTGTGCGGCGTAGCCTTTCCAAACATCATTATTTTTGTAGTGTTTGCTTTTTAAAAACTACTTAAATATTACTGTCTTCGCTTTTCGTAGTTAAAATCCTGGAAAGTCATGGGATTCTTCATTTTTTCTAAGATCCTTTTTTTGAGGGCGGTTTTTTCAAAATTTCAAAAACAACTTTCCCTTTAATCTTAGCATGGCTAATCAACATGTGTCTTCACTGATAAACTGATACGAAGTTGATAAGAAGCATTATTCAGCTAGCGTTTCGGCGCCTTCGCTTTCCTCAGGAACGCCGAATAAAGGTTCTTCTCAACGTCGTATTGGCTTATCCATGAAAAATGAACATGTGGCTTCTTCTTCTAGCAGTAATAAACCCATCTGCGTCTTGGCATGAATTTCTGGAAGATTCAAATCTGTGATGAGAAGTGGTTGAAAGAAAGAACTAGTGAAAACATGACTTATGTGCGACGTGATCCTTATGAGATGCACGTCCTTCCCTTCGTCCTTATTCGTGCATTTAATGATCCGAAAACAAATTAATTTTAGACGTTCGTAAGTGTTTTCACAACGTTTTTGTTTGTTTGTTTGATGACGTCATTCTGGTCGTCCGGCAACAGCCTGTTATGAGCGGATAGCGCATGAGCGCCGAACTGTTTATGCTAAGTGAATCTTCGTGGTCAACAAAATCAATAAATCGATCGTTACGAGCCTTAAAGATGGTGGTTGGACGACTTTTTTAAATGGGAATAACACAGGATATTTGTAGTTGTTAAGTTGAAATATTTTTAGTGGTAACCTTTTTTAAATCGTTAGTAGTTCTTATGTAGAAATCATTTTAAAAATTTATTCATGTCAGATTCAAGTCAAAATTTCTTATATAACCAGGTGCGTTACCACTTATGATGGGCTTTTTTAATCTATTTGCTTAATTTCAGTCACTGTTACCTTCTGTTGGCGAGGGCGCGTGTGGCGCAGTGGTCGGAGGTGCCCTGCAACACACACGTCGAGTCGATCCTTGCCCCCATGGCCCACCAAGCTCTCCATCCTTCCGGTGTCGGCAAATTGGCACCAGACTTGTCTGGGAGGATAGCAGCACTGGCTCGATACATCGAAAGGCCACCGCGAGTCATTGTAAAGACCAGATATGCATTCAATTACCTCCAACGGTACTTAAGTCTAATACATGGCACATCCCTCAGAGATTGCTCAGCACTGAGAGCTTCATCCTTGTCCTTTTTTAATCTGCAATGCACGTGGTCTTAAATCTTCTTCGATCTTAAATCGCCATGTTCGTCAAGCCTGCCATCGCTCTGGGGTCAGCAAATTGGTACCAGTCTTCTCTGGGAGAATAGAAGTACTGACTCAGGTAGGGCACTGCGAGTCATTATGTAGTCCAGATATG